CCTTGAGGTGAGGATGATGCTTAGAAAAGTGACAGAAATTCCATATTATGAAGGTATGTGCTCAGACATCTACAGTTTTAGCTGATGGTGCTTATATTCATAAATCAAGCACAGAGAGTTTAGCATGGTTGAACAGTGATAGATATAGGGAATTTTTCTGGGGAAAAAAGAATGCTTTCTCATCCTGTAAAGTATCATAATGTGATATGTGGGAGAAGAAGCTTTTGGTGGTGAAACAATGGGCATGAAGCATTATAGGACTGAGGAGGATGGAATAATAGAGATCAGGCCGATTGCCTCATTACAAAACAAGAGAAGAGGCCCAGAGGTAAAGGGATTTGGCCAAAGTCACACAGCAAGTGTGTGAACTAATACTTTTCCATGCCAGGGGCTAAGAAAGAACATGAGTGAACTTGAGTTTGCTTATAGAAAAAACACACGGCAGATACATGTTATCTATCTCAGTTTCTGTAAGCCAGGGTTGCCAGTTGGTTTCATTTTGAGGTGCTTGCTAGGATCCCTTGCAAGGACCACCTGTAGTTTCTAGACCTCTGCCTCCCCACGCTCTTGGATCTAGAATTCATTACTCTCATTGAACCTGACAATCCTCATTTTGCCTCTATCTACCAGATTTCCAGGGCACTCTGGAATTTTAGCTTGTTGGACTTCCCTATTCTCCTCTACGCTCTGTCTAGTGAGATGGACAAGATCTACTAGCAATCAGTGAGGTCGTCAGAAAAGTTTTCTAGCTGATGGGCAAAGAACCTATTGGATAATGGTTGATATCTATCTACCTATCCTCCCTCATGGTACCATGAAACTCCATAAGTTCTTCCCAGCTCACAGAGCTTAAACATCTGTGATGAACTTAATTCTTGGTTTTAATCACTTTAAATAATGTATTTTACTGCTTTTAATCATTAATACATAATCAGCATGGAACATATGGAAAATGGAAAAATTCATTTCACTCCTCACTGTCTCCAACTTACCATCTGATCTTTCCCTAATGTGCTGCCATGAAAATCTACTTTCTTTTTTCCAAATATACCACCATTCTGTTCTTCCTATAACTTTCAGGGATAGATATCTTTCTATTGACATCAGAATGAAAAAATATTCTATAGTACATATTATGGGTCTAAAAAGTACTATTTTTACAGCTAGTAATAAATGGCTAGCAGGTCCCATGAAAGAAGTGAAAAATAATAACTTCATATATAATGAGAAGCTTGTATGAAAAAGAAATTTGAGAGTTGTTTTCTTCCAGAAAAATACTTGATTACATAATTGGTTTAGCTGGAAAATCAAATAATTTCCTCTTTTGCGTGTTCTGTATATAAGAATCCATGAAATATATATAGGATAGCATCAAACAGAATAAGAGCTTATGCTTTCAAATCCTGACCCTATTCCCAAATATTTATGTAAATTTAGGAAAGTTGTTAGCCTGTCTAAGTCATTGTTTCTTTGTCTGTAAAAGATGGATCACAATGCCTCTGTCTCATAATGGTGTTATCAAGACTTATGATAATGTGTTTTAACCATTTAACATTATGCCTGGCAAACAGGGAGTTTTAGGAAAAATAGGATCTTGACAAAGATGTTCATGAAATCTTTCGGAATTCATCTCTATGATAGATTCCTGTACCCTGGGGAGAACGCTACAGTAGTCTGAACCTTTCTGGTAGCTGGGGAGGAGACCAGCTGATCACTCTCCATTGTGAAGCTATACTTGCAGCCCTCTACACAAAGTCCTGGGACCCGCCCTAGCACTGCTTCAAGGGGCTTTAGGAGAATGGTGGTAAAAACCATCTGTCCCCTGGGATGGAACAGTGATTGATAAATTTTTCGCACATGTTCTTTGTAAGTCAATGACTAGAATCTGCTTGTCAGAATATAATGCCCCTGTAACATCCAAGTGGACATATGTACTGGTATTTAAGTGCTAATTTTTGCTTTGGGGAAGAAAAAGAGACTTGCACTGAACATATTATTTAAAACAGACTGAAGATGTAACAAATGGAAAAGAGATAACAATTTTCACACTTCAGCAGGGTAGTATTACAGTAGAACTCCTGAGTATATTTACATTTACTAACCCCACTTAAAAAACAAATACTTATTTAAAAAATACTGAAATGCTTTGAGTAGGTGGTATAGCAGACTGCCTTATGGGTGATTAAAGAATAGGGTGTTGAGTTGGACTACGGTTCAATTTATTTCTTTAAAAATTGAGTGACAATGAACAAATCATTAATGTATTTTGAAATTTGATTTTTTAAAGTTCTTTCAAGTAGTATATGTTCAAATTATCTTGCTATAAGCACAAACTAACATAATATCTGCAGTAGTTTGAATGACAAAGCTTGCAAAAAGAAACTAAGACACAGTTTCTGTTCCACTTTGATCATGTTTCTACAGGACACATGCACATCTCTGAGATGGCAAGTGATACATTAGTTTCAAACAAAAACAGATACTTTTCCCACTAAATCAAAGCCCTAATAGTTGTTTTCCATTACTTGTTTTCACCTAACTCCTTAGCAATTGAATCTCAAGCTTATTAGGCAAATGACTTCCTGGAAAAGACTGCATTTGCTAACCTTCCTTTAGTTTAGTTGACTATGACCATGCACGTAACTTGTGCCCATGAGATGTTATTGGGACAAGGGTATGCCCTTTCCTACAAGCATCTACTGGCTTGTGTTGTTGCATGAGAAGTGGAATATGATAGGACAAATGATAGCTGTCACTCTTTCTGTGGCCATCTCCAAGTATTATGCGCCTTGGAATGGTATCTATGTGTGGCAGAAACACAAACAGAGAAATTTGAGCTGCTGATACCACAAAGTATGCTATCATAATTGTAGGACTTGTGCTTACATGTGCAAATGTCAAAAGAAATATGCACTTATATTTATATATTTAACATAAACTTAAATTATATACCCATATTCAGCAGTCTCTTTTGAAATTCAAAGAGTGACAGGGAGTTCTGGAATCTTATAATAATCTGTCAAAGAATGACTTGTATTAAAGAGGGTCATCCGCTGCTCTTGTTCGTGAGGCCAAGGGACTCACCTCCAACATGACTTTGAGGGCACTGGGGGTGCATTACCTGCAGCAAGTTTCTAATGTAGTGTAATTGTTGATACACTGTGTCAACTTGAATTTAGAAGTTTAACACAGCAAGGGGTGGGGTTCTTACTTGTAAACATCCTCATCCTGTGCAAGAGGAGGGCAGGGAGATTGTGTGAGTGCTACTTATTATAAGGAAGGAAAAGAGGCTTGTTTCCTGCCTTTTGCTCTTGCTTTTGCTTCTTTATTTTGTCTCAGCAATGAAAGAAAAGTAACCAAGACAAAAGGAAAGATCTGGGTAGGTCACACTAGTTACAAATGTTTCTATATGAGGGAGAGGTAGCAGTGGGGTATAAAGTTTTCATACAATAAATGAGGAAGAGAGCAGCAAAAATGCAAAGAAACTAGGAGTCCTTCTGTTTATTCAACAGCCTCAAGTGTGTTAGGGTGTGCCAAATACTTAGGTTGCTAAAATTAACCTTGGGCAAGTTAATTTAACTTACTATAGTTTAGTACCTAATCTCTAGCATGCAGATAATAATGGAGTTTTACCTAGGCTTAAATAAAACCAAGCTACCATTATTGTTTTTTTTTTTTTAAAGAGGAGCTCAAAGTCTAGTGAGTGACAATGAGTAGACATTAAAGATAGCACAGCACAATGATATATATAATATAGATGTGGGTACAACCCTCTGGACAACACAGGGAGGAACCTATGAGTTGGTAGAAGGCACTTGTGAATCCTTCTCCAAAGGACCTGGACATACAGAGTGGGTTCTCCGAAGAAAGAGTAGCATTCCAGGTGAGGACTCAGCTTGGGCCAAGAAAAGGATCCTTACTGATGTTTGAGAAAACTGTATTGCCAAAGAAGTCATAAATTCTGTCTGAAACCATCTATGACAACTGAGGTTTAAAGTACTTTTGTTCCCTCAACGAGGCATAGTCAGCAAACAGGCTGAGAGAGTTGTGCAATCTCCAAGGAGAACAGATTCCCCAATGTCCATTCAATGTGGCTGAGGAATATAATGGACAAAGAATACCCTGGAAAAAGATCCAGCATACTGAAGAACAATGGGCCAGGAGTTTCTTCCCAGGGAGCAGAGTCAGGATCCAATCAACGTGCTTCACCGTCATGTCTTCAAAGTTTGCCCAAAAAGTCCACAAATGGTTGCTGTATAGTATGTCTTCTATTACTTCTGTTTTTGTGGTTAATCACACTCCTCTCCCACTATTATATGTTAGCAGTGAGCAGAAAATGTGTTTATAGTTAACACATTTCAGTACTAAGAAGAGTTATATTTGGGTATGATAGAATTATTGCAGCTGGATTGATAGTCTAGATTTTGAGCAAGATGCAATGGTAGGATGGCATCTCAGATCATTGTGTATGGTGTCTGTGTGTGTGTGCATTTTCTGTATATAAGACTATATCAGTTCGAATTTCTAGAGAAAATAGAGCACTCCTAAATTAGCATAAATAGAGGAAGGTTCCTTGAAAAAGGGATTGGTTACAAACATGTAGTCAGGTATAGGAATAATAAAGGGTATTGCAGAAATCTGGGCCATTGTCATCCACAGGCGGAAAGGAATGAGGGCAGTGAATGGTTGCCAGGACTGGGAAGAGCAAGACTGAATCATCTAGGTCAGGTCAGGAGGCTCAGAAAGCCAAGGTGACCTCACAGGGAAAGAACCAGGGACATAAATGGTCTGACCTCATTTTCTCCTTCCTGATTCTCCTGAATCCTTGCCATCAGTAAATCCAACTGGAAGCCAGTGGACATTGATATCACTTGATGCAATCTCTATATATTAGGTTCTAGGGGCAGAATGTCAGGTAAAACATGAGGATCACAAATCTGGAGGGGCAAAGAAAAGATACATGACATGGGAACAAAGGGAAGAAAGAATTATTCACTAACCAGAATGAAGAATTCAGATGCGTAACCCTTCTTATGCCCTCTTCTGCACGTTCACAGTTTGAAACTTTTGGTGGAGAATAAATAAATGCTGTGAGCTGCAGAGGCCTGGTTCCGTCTGTTGCAGACTGGTGAAGCTCAGAGCTTCAGCGCGGGAACAGTGATCTGTCTGTTCAGTTGGTGAGCGGTGATCAGAGTCATGACTCAAAGCTCATATCTCCTTCCAGTGTGTCATACTGCTGGCCCAGGACTGGCTGAAGTCCAGTTAAAAGTGAAGAGTGGGGAGCAAAGTGTGTGGTGTTAGAAGTGCATGGTCACCAGAAGTCTATCCATCCTTATCCTTTTAATTCCCCTTTTGATTTTGCTCCCCTTTTGATTAATTCATTGCATTGTCACTTCTTTACCACTCTTTGTATTTGTGCCATTTACTGTATGATTTTGTCACTCTCTTCACTAAAGAGTTGGAGTCCATTTTCCTACCGTTTGAATATAGGCTGCCCTGGCAACTTGTCTTGGCCAAATATAAAGAGGCACAACTGACAGTAGACCAGGTCCCAATCTATGCTTTGTTTAGGCTGCAGAAGGATAAGAAGTACCAAAAGCAGAGCCAAGCCACCTTCATCACTTCTGGCAGAGTCAGGAGCAATCCCAGGCAAGACTACTACAGTCCAGACTGCCCACAGGTGGCTCAGGATGTGTGGACATGGTTACTGTCATAACCTCCTGAGGTTTTCCTGGTTGGGTGTTACACAGCACCACTGTGATGACAGGTAACAGATGCACTCCCCCATGCTGCTGAGCCACTTCCCATGGCAGCTTCATAGGGCTATTCAGTTTCAATGACAGCTTTGCCTGCAGAATGGTTTTAGGTGCAACTGTCTTGAATAGCAATTCTACAATGTCTTTTTCTTTAATCCTTACAAGAAATTGTCACATTTTTATCCTTACTCAGCCTCTTTAAACACTTTTTAGTTTTAATTAAATCCAGTCTCTAGAATCAATCAGTCTGAGTTTAAATTTTAGCTTTGCCTTTTAATAGCTACATTCTTGAGTAGATTAATTAAGTTTGCTAAGCCCAATTTCTTTTCAGTAAATTAGAAATAAGCTATTCAAAAAACGAAATGCTGCAGTCCCTTATGCTTTTCACAAATTGATCAGACAGTCACAAGGGAACAGCTCGCCTCTCTTTCTTGCTGTCATGCTTGAAGCTGAGGTGTGGTGTGTAATTACCATATGTGAAGAACTGTATTGAGAACCATCATTTTTATTTCTCCTCATTGTTTGTCACATTACTTTCAGGGAAGAATAGTTTCAATGGCGAGCCAGCAACCTTAAGAATAAAAATAAAGAGGTCAAGGGTCCTCAGTTTATTTACATATTCCCATGAGGGCAGGTGATTCTCCTAGAATGCTGAAGCCCACCTGGACCTACTGGTGAAAGTCAATTGTTAAATTTTCAGAAAGTTTCTTTGCCAGTTATATACAGTTCTACCAAAAATCACATGTACTCATTTATAATAAAATAAATCACTATCTTAGTTACTTATCTTTCATTTCTGAGACAAAGCCCCCAACAGCCAAAGTTAAAAGAGGAAAGGTTTACTTAGCTCACAGTTTGTAGAGGTTTCAATCCATAATCAGCTGGTTCCAAGGCAGGGTGACATGTCAGAGGAGAAACAATTCATGGTGGGCAGAAGGTAGCAAAGCAACAAGGTAGCAAAGCAATGAATACAGCTCTTTCCATCTTTTATATTTTACCCATGCTACTGGGATTAGGGCCTTGCCCACCCAATGAGTGTACTGATTTACTAATCACCCACCCTCAATCCTAGCACCCATAATCGTAGCATTGCATTATGAATCAGTCACAAACTCTAGATCCAGCCACCTCTAAAAAAGCTCCACCTATAACTGCATGAGGCTTTGGAGGGACATCTAAACACAAGCCATAACATTCATTGTAAAACATGGTAAATATACAAAACTCATCATCTCCTAGTTATATTGCTGCAGCTCACCATCACTATCCTCTTGAGGTTGCTTGTGTCCGTTGTAATTGGACAGTAAAAATGTGTCACATATGGGGTGGCCAAGCATCTTTTCCTAATTCCACATTCAGTGGTGGGCTGAAGTTGGTCACAGTGGCAGTGTAGATTCCACTATAACCAGTAGATTCTACAAATCAGGGTTTTTGTCATTGTTATTATTTTGGAGGCCAGTTGTTTAATTTGGACAAACACAGCTTTTGGGTGAGGCCATCAGTTGCATGTTGAAGCCATTGTTGCTTGTGCACTTATTTATCATAACATCATCCCTTACCTATCCTTGCCACATTAGGATGTTGTCTATTACTATCCATATACCTACAAGGAAAAATATTCTTCTACAATATGATACTAATGAGTCAAACAAACTTAAGGAAAAGTCATCAAATTTAACTACAAAATGTGGTCATTTAATTCTTAGCTAGCTCATAGTCTGGCAAAGTGTGGGGTGAGAACACTATAGCAGGAATGAGGCAACGTTGGAAACCTGGTGCCAATACTTCCTGATGAGTCTTTCTTTGATCACTTCTTGGCCAACTGCAGTGCAATGAAGGGAATATTGATTGGAGAGAAAGGAGGCTAGCAGTCCAAGCAAGTTTGGATAATTATCTCTGTTACCTTGCTCAAGTCTCCTGTTGTTCTCTTAGACCTCAGTTTTAGAAAATGAGAAGACCATATTAGACAATACGAAGATCTTATTTAGCTCATGAGTTTTGTGAGCTCCATTTCCATAAGGAAGAAGAAATATCCCTAAAAGAAAATCTATTTCTGCTCTTCTTTGGTTTCCTGACAAACTTAATTTCAGGGAAATGAGACTACTTTGGGTGGTGCTTTCCTTTAATAGGAGAAGATCTAAGGGTAATGAAAAGATTTTTCATAGGGAGACTACAACCAAGGCCTTCTACTTCTGAGATTTTGCTACAGGTCATGTTGTAGAGAAAACTGACCTTTCTGGACCCTCTTTAATTATAACAGTGCACAAGCTGTGCTCCAGCAGGTGATCAGGGATAGGTTGCTTTGCCCACTTCTAGTGACTGTTGATTTCTGGATGTGAACCCCAGCAGGGGACAGGGTTGGCAGAGATGAAAGAGAGACAGGGCCTCAGGTTTTGTTGGGTAAACAGCTCCTCTGGAACTGGTCAGTGCCAGCTGTCCCCGGCAAGTCCTCAGCCTACCCCAGGCCCCACTTTCTTGCTCTGAGGCCAGCAGTCACCACTGTCTATGCCAGCCCTCAAGTGAGCAGGAGCTGGGCTTCCACTGCTTCTGAGCAGAGGAGGGACACTCCTCACCCTGAGTCACCCAGAGGCTGAAGAGGATGCCCTGCCAGACCACAGAACTCTCCCTGCACGCACACCGGAGTCTGATGCAAGCCCACACAACAGGTCATTTAGACTTTTGAGGTTAAAGTCTCCTCACCTCCTCAGTTCCCAGCCCCCTGGGTGGTGGCAGTCCACCCACACTGTGAGCACTCTTTCTCTTGGGAAACCCCATGGCCTTGGAGGATTTGAGGAAAGAAAGAGGCAGAACAAGCTTTATTTCACAATGTGAAGTCAGATGGAAAGTACTTCACACTTTGCAAATAATTCCTATCATCTCTGGGCTTTTTGACCTCTTGTCAATTTGTCTTTCAACTCTTGCACGTCTCTGAAATCTTCTTCCAGCACCAGTCACAAAAAAGCACCAAGTGGATATCCATGACTTGATAGAACTTACCCTATGGAGACTTGCTGCTCCTGTGTGTGACACCTCCAAGAGATGGGGGTCCCTTATCTATGACACAGCTGTGACATCATAAGTCAGTGCTGCTTTGCATCCTCCTGCAAATGGAATGTGCTCTTTCCTAAACTCACCTAAGTCACCTGGCTCAGTGGCCAAGACAACTGCACTTTGTCACTCCTCACTGCTTTGATTGCTTCAGCTTTATGATGAGACATACATACACATAACAGTACGTTTATCAACAGATTATTTTATGTAATTTATATTTTATATGTAGAGCATACTCTATATCAATATTTTATGATATATTTATGTTCATGATATAACAAAATATATAATTATATGTTAAATATAATTATATGTGTTAAAATATTGTAATATACTGATACATTAATAATAATATATTATTATACTATATGATATTTTATTTGTGTCTATGGGCCATACACACTTTTTAAAAATTATACGAATTTTTCAACATTTCTACAACTTTGCCTAAAATCAATCTAGTCTATAAGGTAGATTAATTTTGAGTAATTCTCAAAATCTTCTGAGAATTCCCCCTGTCATTCTTACATCTGTTTCTGTAATTCTTTTTTTTTTTTTTTGGTTTTGGTTTTTCTCCGGTACCGGGAACCGAACTCACCACCTTGCGCTTGCCAGGCAGGTGCTTTGCCACTGAGTTAAATCCCCAGCCCCGTAATTCTTTATTAACTCATTCCATCAACCCAGGTTGGAGTGTTATTGTTCAAGGTTAGCAATATGAATAGTCCCTTATATTGGTTTTAAGAGTTAACACATGCTCTTCCAAAGTTTAGAAATGGAAATGAAAAAGTAAGTTCAGAGAAAAATCTGCACATCAATGTGCACAGGAGGATTATTCATAACATTATATGTTTATTCATCCAGGGATGACAGGGATGAGGGTAATTCAAATGTGGTAGATCCATACATGGACTGTTACTCAGCTCTGGAAAGGAATGAAGTCCTGACACAGCCACAGCATGGATGGCTGCTGAAAACACTGTGACAAATCCAGCCACAAAGACCACATGGTCGATCTATATACAGTGACCAATATGGGAAAATCCACAGAGAGGGAAAGCAGATTTCTGGTTGCCTAGCACTTGGGAGAAGGAGTTGGAGGCAGAAGCACAAATCACGATTAAGAGGGTTTAAAACATGATGCTGGCTGCACAGTTGTGGATATATTAAAAACAAATTGAATGTGTATTTTAAATGGATTAACTGAATGGTATATGAACTATATGTCATTAAATTTATTATAATAAAAATTAAAAGTCAGTTTATTAAACTTATTTAGTTTAATGCACTGAATTTAGGTCCTTTGCACTGAGCTATACCCACAACTGTTTTTTTTTAATTTTAAAGAAAATTAAAAAATGGTACAGAATTTCAAAACAAGGTGACAGGTAATTAACAATGGCTATTTTAAACATTTTTTTTACTTTAATTTTGAGACAGGGTCTTGTTATGTTGCTAAATTGCCTAGGCTGGGCTCAAATTGGCAGTCTTTCTGCTTTAACCTTCCAGGGTGCTAGAATTACAAGCATGTTACCATGATGCCTGGTCCTCTATTTTTGTCTTTAAAATTATCTTTTCTCTTTGATATTTATCACTAGTATTTGACTACCATGCAATTAAGAAAATAATAGCATCAGCTTACTGAAAAACAATTATATATTCATATCATTATCAACCTGGTGGTATCAGCACCTTTTAAAAAGTGGGTTACCTTTTTACATGTGGCAAGCAGAAAATACTACTTAGTTTAATAGGTCAGCAAGGGCTATTGCTTATTGCCTTTTAACAATGATAGATACATGTGAGAATCAAAGCCTTTTCAAGGCTTCTAGAGAAGCCTGTAATTCCTCCTGTTTCTTCATGCCCCGCCTCTCCTCCCTCTAGCTCAGCAGCCTCTGTTTGCTCTCTCTTTGTTGCAGGCTGGCATGCTCCCACTCCATGCCTCAGTCCTGGCTTTTCTCTTTGTCTGGAATGTTCTGTCCATGTCAATACACAAGTCTTACCTGATGTTCACTTCTCTGTAGAGCTTCTCCGGAGCTCCTGGTGTATCCTTCAGGGTGTACTAGCACTGTCTTTATTTATTCTGTTTACCTGTGTTGTGTGTTACTCCTGCCAGGATATAAATAAGCTCTACGAGTTCATGAGTATTCGGCTATTGTGTTCTCTGATACTCTGTGGCATGTACCACAATGCCTCACACATAGTTCCTGTGCAATTCACATCTGTTGAGTGAATGAGCAGACAGAGATGTTAGCAGTCTGGTTTGAAACGTACATTCTTTGTTAGGTAATTTATCAGTCTGTCTATCTTAACTTTAAGTCATTGTCCCGATTAAGTCTGACTGAATAAACAAAAAGAAAAAAATAATATATCAGCATCTAAAGAGAAACAGACATTTCCTAAAAGATCTGGATTATGAGTAAATGTTTTTGTTTTTTCTTCCGGTACCAGGAATCAAACTCACAACCTTGTGCTTGCCAGGCAGGCGCTGTGCAGCTGAGCTAAATCCTCAGCCCCTGAGTAAATGATTATTCTGGAATATTTGATGATTTACTTTGAGGTCACCATATATAAGTTCAACTAGCCAAATAAGCATTAATTAAATACTTCACCTTCTCTGTGTCAGATTCTTGATGTTAGTGAAGTAACAGTGG